TTAGATTAGAACCTACGAGCGTGTAACGTGTTTGGTCTTGTGTATTCCCATATAATGTTATTATATTATAATATGATACCATTTTCTTTTTGGACATTTTACTGTGCTGTAAATTGTAACCGTACATATCAGTGTGGTTAAGAAACGTGTTCCTAGTTCCCTTTTTGAGGCAATAATTTCAAATGTATTTATTTTTTTATATGTATAAAAATAAATTCATTTTTTTAAAAGTAGGATTAAAAAAGTAATACCTAATTACTTTATTTGAATTATTATTTTAATAGTTTTAATTAATGGGGAATACCCGAGGAAAATTTATTTTAGTTTTATCTCATAATAATTTTTATTCAAGACTTGTTTCTGCTGCTTGTTGTAATTGATTTATTTATTAATATAATAATAAATGGAGAATAAAAAGTAATAATTACCCTGTGTTCTCAAAGAAACAGGAAAATAATTTCTCACCCCCGTTTCAACTAAATCCCAATACTGACTTTTTCAAATATTTTTCTAAGGAAAACTCTTGGATCGTGGATTGACGTGTGTTTTGAGATAACCGTGGACATTGACAATGCCATATTCTATAAACACTCATAATTCATAACATTCATTATAATTTATAATCGTTCAAAGTATTTGCTTTTTAAATAATAAAACAAAAGTAGGTAGGTACCCACCTAATAGTAAATAAAGTGATTATAGTTCTTATGCATTTTAGCATTTACACTGTATATTTATATTTATAATTTACATACATTTAAAATTAGAACAAAACACTTATACTTAGTACATAAACTACTCATAAACTACCTACGTAGTATATTTTATATTATTATAATTTTTATTTTTTCGAGTGACCTGGGAAGTATAACGAGTTCATTTTAAAATTCTTATACGAACGAGTTATTTTTGAAAGCGTGAACGAAGGGTCAAAACTAGTAGCAACAGAGGGGCATAGGCGTGCGCACGGGGGCAGCAGAGGCAGCATATGCTGCCCCTGGACTTACTTTGGGGCCACCGGGGCCGGCAAATATTAAATAATGGGCCTCGGTAAAATTATATTTCCACAAAGGATTTTTTTTGTTTTGATAAACTATAGATAAATATTTTATATATAAACTTGTAGAAAAGTACACCTTTAGTGGCTTAGTACCTTACTGTACAACTTTTTATCCAAAAAAACAAATAACCAATACAATTTTAATTTTTATATCCAATAGTAAAAAAAGTAAAACTATGGGCAGGTTTTAATGGTGAATTTGAAAAATGGGCCGAATTAATCTCTTGCTGCCCCTGAAACCGGAGGCTGCGCACGCCTATGCAGAGGGGGGGCGGTATAGGCTCACTTGGATATTTTAAGCCATGTGGGATCGATTATATTATTATTATTATTTATGACAAAATAAATAACAATATATTAATATGTTAGACTTAATGCCTTAAAAAATTACCTAAATAAATATGCAAAAATATTAAAACATGCACTTTAAAATTTCGTTTAAAAATGTATATCTTACAGTTTGAAAAATTATAAAATGAAAATGTACAGTACAGTTATTTCTGAAGACACTTTAAAATACTTAAGACACTAAAGTTGAAGTACTTAATAATATATAATATTGTTATCGCCTCTTTATAATTATGTGTATACAAATATTGAAATGTAGATATGAAAACGGTGCAGGTCGACGAGGATTGCTATCTACTTGGGTACCTATAAACTATACTTTTACACGCCGTTCTACTCTATCTGCAGAAAACTATATTATGTACCTCCAACCTACAATAATATGCTGGTTTTCATTACGACAATAAATACTGTACCTACTAAAATTTACTTTGGCTTGAAAATAAACTCTAAAAAAGCGGATAAGTGCACCTACAGAGTAGGTCAGCGGTAGTGGAAGTTTGTACATCGTCCTCGGGCAGGATATAGTATTAATTATTCTTAATACTGTATTATTACAGTATTCGATTTGAATGCAATGGTTTAATTCGATAAAAAACGATTGGACCGAACGAAAAGAAAACTTATGAATCATAAATATGTGTTAATAAGTAACCATTAATTGTATAATATATATTATATATACCTAGCAGAGATTAGGTAATTTTTAAATTGTATCGTTTCTATAATACGGTGATAAAGTGTTAGAAAGAAATAGGTTGGAATAACAAATGTTGGTGGCTTTTCCCGTGACGTTAAAAAACTATTGAGAAAATCGAAAAATAACCTCTCTAAAGTACCATCTTGACCCAATTTTCTAAAAGATAAGATACTATATTATGTTGAAATCGAAGCACTCCTTCTGATAGAAATTTTGTTTACAGGATAACAAAATAAACATCAATGTAAAACCACTAGCTTCCTCGCTCCACTGAGAAAACTATCTAAAAACTTGAATTTGTCAAGATGTAAAAAAATTTTAAAAATACCACAATATACAAAATGGGTCCCCTAAAATTCATTTTCCACATACGGCGCTACGTTTTAAAATAACAGAGAGAAAATTGGCATAGCACTAAAATCCCTGCCACAATAATAATAATGATACAGTTCGTCCAAACTCTAAATACTTATAAATTATTACAATATCAAAAATACTATCTGTCAGAAATTTTATTTTTATAGATCGAAATACTAATACTAATATTTTGCTCTGAAATTAAAAATGTATATTATCATTCAAACGATAAAAAATCTAAAAAATTATAAAGACAATAAATAGTAAAACATATAAATTCATATATATAAACATTTTAAAATCACATAGAAGAAGTATTTTCAAAAACTTGAGTGTTTTCTGATGTAATGGATAGTGAGTTACGCGTAAAGCGGATTACCCCCCGCAAATATTAGCTGCCACGATAAGTATGGATCAGTGGCGTCCGCAGGATTTTTCAATGGGGGGGCTTGAAAATTAGTTACATTTTTATTTTATTTTGTCCAGTCTAATAATTTCAGACGTTTATTTGAGGTATTTTAAAATGTTTGTAACTTTTCAAATTTTCTGGTAGAAAATAATCATCTAGTTGGTACTTTTAGGTGGTCGAAATTGAAAATTCTCAGTGCTTTTAAAAATAATTGGAGAAAAAAAAATGAAAATGTATTTAAATGTTTGGTTATACCGTCTTCACTTGGATTGTATTTGAATAATTAAATTTTTTTTTTCTATATAAATGTCAATAAAAAATTATTTATCCGGTTAAAAACCTTAAAAATGTAATACATAAGTTATTTTATTATAGCTAAAATATTAACGATATATAGGCATAGTGTTTGAAAATTTCATGAAATTTAAAAAAATGAAATATTTCAGTAGGTATTTTGATATATTTTGTTTTATTTTTAAATAAGTAAAATGGTATTCAAATTTTTTAAGTATCTTAATGTTTAAATGATACAAGTAGGTATATACAATATTAAACATGTATATTGTATAAATACTGAATTCTGTCATTAGAATTTAGAACACTGAACATTGTGTTAAAAAAATAAATAAATTGTGTTTTTATTTGTGTAAAAAAATTTCAATGTGTCACGTTTTTGTGAAATATTTGATATTTCATACTTCAAACACTACATAGGCACCATGGTTATTTTTTATAAGCATTTAAAGTTCAAATTTCGTCAAAATGACAGTTAATTTGTAGTTCAAAACTTATAAAATATAAAATATATATAGCTAAGGCTACACAATTTAATACAAGGTCTTTCATACAAGTAGTTCTTACTTTTACCTAAAAATTACAGATAATTTATGAAAATTGGTATGCAAATACAATGTTCTTTCAAAAATGAATTCATTCTGGTAAGACATATATGAAATTTACTTCTGGCTTACTATAGTTAACAGTTTAACTTGATTAATATTTTTTTGAAAAATTAACAATAATACGGGCAATGGGGGGGCTTCAGCCCTTTAGCCCCCCCCTGCGGACGCCACTGGTATGGATTGTTAATATTCACGTAAGAAAAAAAAATGAATATTATATTCGCTTTATTGCTTTAACGATTAATAATAATTATATTATTATAATATAATAATAACATAATAATAATATATTATTTCGTTGCGGCCAAGCCAATCTCTTGACAACCTTATCGTTCCCGTTATTCAAATTAGCAGCTGGTATTTCCGTGCACACCTCTCGACGCGTGGATTTGCATTTCCACGGTTTTACATCGCCATCTAAACCCAAACCGTTTCGAAACGAACTTTGCACTATTACCTGGTATACGTTCACATTGACTTTTCGACTCCCTTGCATTGTGCGAGCGGTGGTTGTTGGACTGCTGACGTTTAATTATAGATCACGTGATCGATAAAAAAATCAAATCTATTGCACAGTTAATATGTTTCGTGCGCGTGATACACGTGTGCATTTGATTTTAATATTTATTTATATTGTATCTTTAACGTTTTCTTTTGTTCTTTTTTTTTATCACCAAATTTTTAACATTTTTTTCTTCGCAAAATAATATTATAATACTAATAATAATAAAAAAAAAAAAAAAATACTTCGTGGTGTTAAACATTGGAATTCGTGCCTTATGACGTGATTGATTGCATATCGTATAAGTTATATTAGTATATGCATATAAAAAAAAAATATTATATTATTATCTTGAGTTGATACATTAAATACGCATACAATATAATATATTAATATTATTTATGTTCATAATATAATATTGTACATTTTTTCAACTGCATTTTTCAGACGTTGTTTGTCTTCACTGCGCGTGTGCTGCCTGGTGGTGGTCGTCGAATTGGTATATTATATAGTTTTTTTTTTTTTTTTGTGTCAGGCACACCATTATGTAGGACGTAGGTACAATCTTTAAACATAAAATGCATATGTATATAACTGACAAAAGTATACGTTATATAAATTAAAACTGCAAATAGAAAATAGACAAACAAATAGATAAAATAAATAAACAGATCAAAATAATTCAAAGTCAAATAAATGGTAACTAATTGTCGTTTTCTGGTTCATATGGTTTCAGCCCAAAAACTAGCTACGTCTTTGGCGTTATCATTTGCATTTATAACGTCATCTTGTGTGCATGAGTAAGGACAGATTGGGCATTGCATAATATTATTATGTTTCATTGACTGTTCTATCCCACATTCACAAGTTGTAGATGTTACTCCAAGTAGTCCCCATTTCTTCATGTTATCCTTAGTGCGTCCAACTCCTGTTGCCATTCGGTTTAATGTTCTCCCGATGGGTCATTCCAATTGATTGCCTGTTGATAACACTTCGATTGGGACCCATTTTTTGTTTCTAATTTGGTTTGTCCATTGCATACCTCTTTCCTGTTCCTTAGTTGTTGTTAAGAATTTGGTATTTTTTAGAAAACTATTTCTCTCTATTTTAGCCGGAAATGATTTGCTTCGGTTCCATGCACCGATTTGCTTTCGGTTGGATGTCTTTCGTCTATGTCTATTCGTCATTTGTGTCCTTTCCCAATCTGCTTGCACTACCCTCCTAATTTCCGTTGGTACAATTCCAGCTAGTAAATATTATATTCCTTCGACCTTAGAGTTTCTTAGACAACCAGTCACCAGTCAGCACGTTTCATTTAGTGTGACATCGATTTGTTTTGAGTGGGTAGATCTCCCCCATACTGGTGATGCGTATCCGGCTATAGATAGGCATAGAGCCATTGCAGTAGTTCTGAATGTGTGTGACTGGGCTCTCCCCACTAGTTTTCGTAACAGTCCGTTACGTGACGCTATTTTTTTTTTTTAGCTTTTCACAGTGAGCTCGGTATGTATTAAGGACCTATCCAGAGTTACTCCTAAATATTTGGGATGTCGGGCATTATCGAGTTCTATGCCGTCCCAGATTGCGTTTAACTTGCGGTCTGCTTCCCTGTTTCTCAGATGGAAGGAGCATATTTGTGTTACCTCTAGGTTTGGTAGTAATTGGTGATTTCTATGGTGATAAGTACCAACCTCTTAAAGTGTCGTTGTTAACTTTTTTCCACTGTTTCCAAACGAATGTCTTGCACTGCAATAGCGGTATCTTCGGCATATTATATGTAATGGTTTATTGATTGGTCTTTTGATATTGGTTGGCCGTTGGTGTATATATTAAACATTGTTGGTGCTAGTACATTTTTAGACTTTCTCCGTCTGCTGCTTTTTTTGTTAAAACATACAAAAAACCTCCCATTGCTTAGTAAAGCTTCTACTAATTTTACAAAACGGAAATAGTGTGATTTTATATAACTTGTTTGTCATGATCCTATGATTAATAGTGTCATAGTTGTTAGATCTATGAAAACTAAACCAGTGATTTTCTTTACTTCATAACCGCTTTCTATATTTATTATATTGTTTTGTGTTGACGGTGTTGTCTATATACGAATATAAATCTTTTATTAAAAATAAGACTTGGCACTTTAGCCATTGGCTGTTTTTTTTTTAAAACACTCCTCGACACTTCTATTAGATATCTCGTACATACATCTTTTCGCACCGCCCGTATAGTGGCGTTATCAATATTTTCAAATTAAGATTTAACCAGGATTTAAAAAATGTAGGATAATGGGAGTATAGATACTTTTGCTGGTCGCTGGTCGGATTTGTCGTGCTAGGTTCTAACTTCTAGTACCTACCAGTTCCGCAACAATATTCAGTGTGCAAGGTTTGCAAGGTGTGCAATGCACACATTCCTCCAGCACTGGAGGGCCTCAAAAAAAAAAAATCTAAAAATAAAAATGTCCTATAGCCTATTTTAAATGTTGATTGTTATATTACCTAAGATTTGAAAATTTAAAAATTTAAAAACAAGATTTCACATACGTTTTTCAATTAACAAAAAAAGTTCCTATCTATTGAATGGCCAAATTAATTTTTTATGAGCTTTTGAAGTTTTTTTTTTTTTTGATATAAGATAGGTATAAATTCACCCGTAAATTAACGATTTTTATTATATTATTATTCAAAAACGATAAACAACCACGTATATAATATACTTAGGTACTTGAAATTTTCACAAAAAAATTATTTTGGTTTCTTTTATACATGCCATTACATGGTATGATTTAAAAAATATTTTTACTCTTATTGAGTTATTTATAGAGAATCGAAATTTTGAATTTTTTTAGTATTTTTTTAAAAATGTCAATAAAAATGTTTTGCCGTATCAAACAGCTTAAAAAAATGTAAAAAAAATCGTGATAAGTTCTTTTAATAACAGTTTAAAAGTATACCTTTAAACCTACACAAGCCGTTTATTACCGTTTAATGTTTAATGTTGACAATAATTCATCAACATCACAAATATTTTTAAATCATTTACTAGTTAAAAATGTATAACATACTAAATTTTTTTAACTAAAGATGTAATATTTAAGACAAAGTTTCTCATAAGTGGCTAACATTGTAACCAGAAACTCTAAAATATATATTGACACAGTTTTTTACTATAGCTATTTTAAGTTAAAATTTGAATGGAATTATATATTAGTATGAAGAAAAACAATGTTAGCATTTTTTCGTTGTAATTACATTCTTCGTGGAAACGGATACAATTTTTAAATTTTACGTATTTGTACCATGAGGCATGAAGTATGAACCTATATTCTAAATTAAAATTTTAGGTTCTGGTTTGTTATAGCCCCGCGGCCCCCACCATCCGTATAACAATAAATACATTTATTTATTGATTCTGTAATAATAATAATTCGATGACAGATATATTGATGTAATATTAAAAAATGATGATAATAAATATATCGTATAAGTAGGTATAAAACAATGATAAATTAAAAAATGTATAAAAATGTTTATGGTTTCTCTTATTAATACTATATTGTTGAGTTTTGATCGCCACTTAAATTCTGCCATGTTATATAGAGTCTAAAAAATGTCTATCAGTTCATCTACGATTTTTGTTGCCCAATTAAGCCGACCACCACATTCTCTCGACATTTTGTGTGTGGGCTCCTGAGTTAAGGTCCACGATATTGTATCTATGATAAACTTAATTATATTGAAATCTATGTTGTTGCAAATTAGCATAAGCTTTCCAGCTGTCAGAAAGAATTTTTGAACCATGTCTAATATTTATATATCGGTTAATGATAGGTATCAATGTAACTTCTGACCTATCTATCACACTAACTATGAAATAGTGTTTGTTTATTTATTATTAGATACCTCATTGTAACGGTACGTATTTTTCGTCGAATTATTTCATATTTATATTATGTATTTATTGTTATATGGATGGGCTATAATAAACCAGTACCAAATTTTACTTATTAAGTAACTTACTAACTATTAGGTACAGTATATTTCAATCCTAAAATGGAAATAGACGCAATAGTATCACGGCGTCGAGATCGGGCAACTGAAGATACACGATACATCTTCGCGGTAGATGTATTTTTTCCAACGTATAGGACAAAAAAACAAAATCTAACTATAATGTACCACAAATGCAACAAACCACACAATATCCCGAGTGGCCACGTCATGAGCACGATATTTGGGGGAGGGAGGCGGGAGTCCTACTATAATAATATTGAATAAACCTAAAAAAAATGTTGGAAACGTATGAGAATTGTGTGTGTGTGGGGGGGGGGGGGGGGGTAACCCCTTAAATCCCCCTTTATTTAAGCCTATGTATAGCGTGGTGCATAATATTATTTTGTCTTATAAATGATAAAAAAATTATCAGATTGAAAGATTCTGAATGACATTGATTATTAGTCATTTCATATGACTGGTGCATACGCCATACGGTATTATCATATCTAAGGATTACATTATTAATTATTATGATATCATAATTACATGTATAATAGCGAGTCCAACAGCATATTTATTTTTTCTGTAAATACTCAGAGACATGCAGACACGGTGAAGAGCTAATAAGATGTGTAAAATATCAAAAATTCAGAACAGATTTCAAACATCTATAAAAGTATATATAATTATTAATTTTACATACAAATTTTATCTATCTACAATATTATATTGATCATAAGTTATTTTTTACAAACTGACTGTTTCACAGTTGACATCGTTACTATTCAAAATTAGTACATTCATTTGTTTGTTAACTATTTCAGTTTTACTTATAAGTAAGAAAATTAACAATGCAAACATCAAAAAGATCATCTATAGTAATTTTGATCGCGAAGTTTTTAATAATTAAGATTTTTTTGGAGAGCTTTTAAAACATACATTCGTTGGAACAGGTGTCTTCTGATTTGTACGACCAGTACGTTTTGATGGGCTCACTTTTTTTTTTATAGAACTGTCATCTTCTGAAACTAAATCATTTAAATACAAGTAGATGATTAAGTATTGATAATTTGATATGATTACTGATTAGATTTAGATACAAGTACATGGGAGTTTAGACATTTACCGAGACTACTGGATCTTACTGGGGTGCAATTCCTACGAACTGTTCTAGCTCGTTTAGTTGTTGATATAGGTGTTTCTAAAATAAGTAGAAAATCATTAAAAAAATATTTTGACAAATTATAATTTATCTTATTTACTTGGGGATGGTTTTGTAGGTGAATCATCGTGTTCAATTGTCGTTTCACTACCAGTTTCTTCGTGAACAAAACTACTCTGTAAACATTTGATATTTGAACAAACAATAAATATAATATATATGTTATTATACATACATAATACATTTTTATTTATATTATAAAACAAATTTACCTCACTATGAGGACTTAATATAAAATCATCAATAGTTGATACATCTTCAGTCTTTTTCACTTTAGGAGAAATTTCAATTTTATTAACATCTATTTTTCGTTTCCGATCTTTTTCTTTGAATCCTTCAGCTCTTGTTTCTTCTAGTTGTCTCCTCTCTTCTTGTTTTTGACGATCTAAAGAAGTTTTTATTAGTTATTTAAAATGTACATAAAATTACTTTCTTATTCTTACATTTGCTTTCAATTTCATCATCATCTAAAAGTAGCGAGACAACTTCTTTTGGTTTTAGGGTATCAGGTTTTAGATTTCCACCACTAATAACCATTCTTTGTATCTAATTAACAGTTTTAGTAAAAGATTTGTTAATAAAATTATTTATCTACTTCATAAAAAAATATTAATAGTAAAAGTAATAAATATTAATAATTTTGCATACTTCACTTTTTTCTTTTGCTCTTTGTAATATTCGTTCTTCAATAGAGTTCTGGGTTATTAGTCTATACACGGTAACCTAGAGTAACATAATATAACACATTTTATGTCATTATTATTATGAGTTATTGTTATTCAATATAGACTTATGTATATGGCTAACCTGTTTAGTTTGACCAAGCCTGTGAGCTCGATCCATTGCTTGTTGATCAACAGTAGGATTCCAATCACTATCATAAAATATAACAGTATCTGCAGCAGTCAAATTTATTCCAAGTCCTCCAGCTCTTGTGCTCAATAAAAATACGAAAATATCAGATCTAAATAGTGACAAAAAATTGTAATCAACATAATTATTTAAATTTAAAATTTAATAAGTATTTAATCCAATGTAAAATAAATAGTCCGAATGTTTGTAATAGAAAAAACCGATAACAATAATTTATAAATTTTGGTTAGTAAGTACTAAATAGTATTTACCGATTTTGAAAGTCAGCAACCATGTCTCTTCTTTCGGATATTTTGGATGAACCATCAAGTCTCATATACCTCAATTTTTTATACCACATATATTCCTATAAAGCACATAATTATGTAAGAATAAAATAATAAACACAAATCAAATTCTTTAAATTACCTCTAAAATATCAATCATTCTTGTCATTTGTGAGTAAATTAGAACTCGATGGTTTTCTTGTTTTAATTTTGTTAGTAAGCTGTCTAATATTTTTAATTTTCCACAGTCAGTAACCAAACTTTGTTTATCTAAAAAAAAAATAAAAATATTTACAGTTATTGAGTTTAGAGTACTTCAATATTCATACACTACCCGGTATGCTAATGTTGGACCACCCATTTTGAGGCTTTAAAGCATTTACGCCACCTAAATTTTCACATGACCATTGATTATGACTGAAACTTGAATGGCCATTAAATATTAAACTATAGCCTTTGGTAGAATCACAAGTTTCATGCCGTTGCCAGATATATGCAGCTGACCTACTACCAGGAACCCATAATTGACGTGCTTTTGTTGTTACTTTTGGAGAATAAAAGTATATGAATGGAGGAAGTTGTGTTGGTTTACATTCATATACTTGTGATGGTCTAGGATTGTAGTTTTTCAATGATATGTTCTCAACATAAATGTTTTCCATTGTTATATTCATATCAGAATTTGCCTAAAAATGTTTAGTTTTTTAATCATGCATTTAAATTAACTATAAAGATTTTATTGATTTATACTCGTTTAAGGCGATGTAATTTATGTTCCATTGTTTCATTCATATGGTGATGCAAATGAGTTGTATGGGTAATAGTACATGTGCTGACAATCGGAGTTATAAATTTAAACTGCTCTGGTACGCGTTGTTCAATAAATGGCCACAATATACTGTTTTTGTCCCAACAATTTTTCTCACCAATTAAGTTATCCTTTTTTTGTTGAATCAAAATATTAAGTATTCTGGAAACAAAGAAAATTATCAGTTAGTGGTTAACCAACTGAAAGATGCATTACCTGTAAAATAGTCCACCATTTGTTATCTGAAAAAGATCAGTTGCTGACATTTTCAAAAGTCTACTAAAGCAATACACATTACATGTCTGTGATTTATCTATAAATATAAATTTGCATTAAAACATGAATATTTTATATATTTGGTTAAAAAAAAATGTAATATTAACCATTATTTATAGGAAAACAGCTATGGTGGACTTGTTCAACATTAAATATAAAAAATTTATTAGCAAATAAATGTTGTTTACTTAAAAAGTTATATTTAACTGAGTTGTCAAAATAAATCATTTTAGGAACAATATATTCAGTAGGACGGAAAAAAAAAGGTGATCTAGCTTCTCGTCTTTCAAATAATTCTGGATGATTACAAACCTAGAAAAAAAAGTAACTTATACTGCTAGTGTTTTAATATTGAAATTATAAATACAAACTTTTCTGAATTGCATCACTAAGTTCATCAAATTTGATGTCACATTGGGTGAAGACTGATAAGAACCAGCTGAATGTAATAAATCTTCAATACGAATCTTTTTCCTTAAAGCTAAAAATAAACCATTTAATAACAGATTTTCATTGATTGAAAATAAATATTTTATTACCAGAATATAACATTTTTTGGCGAGAAGTAAGTGGACAGTACATCAAGATTTCAATTTTATCAGACAACTCATTTTCAACATCCTTTTTTATTCTACGTAACATGAATGGTTTTAAAATCAAATGCAGTCTAGATAAATGTTCTAAAATAAAATGTTTAAATAAAAATCAATTATTATCAATAATTTTATCCCACAGTTGTTTAATTATTTCAGAACTATTTACTATACGAGTAGTTGTAGTACATTGAATAAAGTTGTAAATGAAGATAATATTCTTACTTTCGTCAATGCCTGTTTTGTTTTCTGCATGACTCTCAATATCTTTAGAAAACCATTCAGTAAATTCGTCATGAGAATCAAACATTGTTGGCATAATAAAATGTAACAAGGCCCAAAGTTCAGCCATACTATTCTGTACTGGTGTACCAGTTAACAACAAACGATTACGGCATCTAAATGTTAATAATAGTTTCCAACGCACGCTACAACAAAAATTATATTTTTAATTTTTATTTATTTCTAGTTTAAAGTAAAAAAAAAACAAACTTTAATACCTGTTGGTACTTTTAATAGCTTGGGCTTCATCGAGAACCAAATATTGCCATTTAATACGATTAAAATATTTAAAATCGCTCACAATCAATTGATAACTTGTTATAACCACATGAAAACTAGCTTCTTGTGTATGTAATCCTTTTTGGTCCCAGAATTGTCTTAAAATTTTTCTTTCCTACAGAGTTGAGTAAATAAAAATAATATAAGCAAGGTGCTATACTTCATACAATTAATATTTTGGCTATTTTTTTTCTATATAATTTGTTATAACTAGGGAGTGGATTGATATCTTAATGCATATTATATTTACCTAATAGAAAAAACTATTAAAATCTGATAAGAAATGTGTATAGTTTAAATCATTCTAATTAAAATAATGCCAATTTAATTTCACATATTTTGAATTATTTTTTATAATTTTTGTATTGTATTTTTTTTTTTTTTTTGGTTTATATTTTCAATATAATTACACAACATTTTTATTTTAAAATGAAAAATCTTGAGTGATAACTTCCCAGAGTTCGATAAATTGCAATTATTTGCAGATAAATTAATTTTAAATCATTATTATTTCATATCAGTAAAAATACCTGTGGATTTCCCCAATATGGGACAACTTTAAAAGCAGGAACAAATCTGGCTATTTCTTGCTGCCAATTGTGAAGTGTAGACGATGGAGATACAATTAAAAATGGACCCCACACACCTATAATACCAAAATAATAATACTTTATTAAGTTTAACCTATAGTTTACTTACGATATGCTTCTGCAATATGACATAAAAATGCAATAGATTGTACAGTCTTTCCTAATCCCATTTCATCTGCTAATATTCCATTTATTCCCTACAATTAAAAATTAATATTTGCTATTGTCATTAATCAAATTATTTTTAGGAAATAATAAAAATAAATGTTACTTGGTCATAAAGATTTGCAAGCCAATTCATTCCTTTTAGTTGATAATGTTTCAAACTTCCTTGAAATATTGTTGGCTGTGGTCTTTCTTCATTAGGAGGAGGCATATTTATTTTAAAGTCAATATCATCAAATTCATTGGATTGTCGTTCATGAGCGTCCAGTGCCTTTTGAGTATTTTGTAATGCTTTATCCTTATAAATTTCACTAATTGTAAACATAAATACAATTAAACTATTAATGATAATAAAGTTAAAGTGACGCCTTTAATATATTTTTATATATTAAAATAAGTAAAAATAAAGTATTTATCATGATTACACAATCCAATATTTATTATTATTTTATTACAGTTAGTATGAGTTATAAGGTTAACCTGTTATAGTTTTCAATATGCATCAGTCTAGGAATTTTTTCTTCATCTAATTGGTTTAGAATTCGAAGCTGTTCTTCAGCAGAACTTTGACCAAGCTTTTTTGACATGAAGTGTGCATACAACTCTGTTTGAGTGATCAAGAAATTTAATTTCCTTTGCTGACGTTTTGCCTAAATTTATTTTATTTTTTTACAAATAATGTATTAGAAATGGATAAGAGATAAATATTCAATAAATCAAAATCATATTTACTTCCATTAGCTCTACATCCATTTTCCTTTGTTCTTCGGCTTCTTTTTCTTGTTTTTTACGAGTCTCACGTTCATTACGATCATATCTTTTCCAATATGTTAACATTTCACGTGTTAAACGTTTTGCACGCCATACATTTTCTTTCATATTTTTTTGACTCTATACATATAATAATTTCAATGTTAATACGAGAGAGTTAAAAGACCAGCGGACACCTCTCATTAAATTTTTCATTATGTCATCTATCCCAAGAGGTAAGGATGGTAATAAATAATTAATTACTTGAATAGCTTTTTGGCGCAGATGCTTCATACAGGATTGAGCAGTACGGCGACAAGTTATTAATATTTCTTTATGATTATTATTTTTCATTCTATGTATCTATAAATATTTGAAATATATATTAATATATATTTTCTATAAAAACATAATCCTATTATCTTTTACTTTTCCCATTTCTTTTTTTGCCATATGTAACCATAACTTCTTTCTTTTCATAAATATAACTTGAGCTGTTTTTGCTTCCAAGAGCGCTTTTTTTTTTTCAAGTTTTAATGTTTTGGCAGTAGGACTCAATGACCGCGTTTTCCTTTTAGCTAATTTTTTTTCACTGTCAGAATTCTGTAAATAAAAATTGATATATTGTATAATCAGCAGTGGTGTTTTGGAGGGTATACGCGGGTATACGACGTATACCCTATCACCAGTTTACTGATTTAGCGTATACCCTGTAAAATTACTAGAGATACGCAAGTATACGCGCGTATACCCACGTATACCTTCAAAAAACTTAAGTAAAATAAAATAGTAATAGCTTCCAAAAAAATATTTTTATCTTTATTATTGAAAATTATCAATTTTTTTTAATTATAATCGACTAATAACCATAATATCAATATCAAATTCATATATTTACAATTATAATCACGGATATGGATACAATTATTTAAAACTATCAACGTTATGGACACAGTCCACAGATATTTTTATAATATTATCTGTATAGTTATGGTTGACTTGAGGGACTGCCGATTATAAGAATGATATTGTATTTATTGGATCGACAGCGGCTTCAAAAACAAAACAGTTATTCACAGATGCCTTATCACAATCAGTTAGATTTGGTAGAAAACAGCGATATTGATAAGAATTTGCAGATAGACAGATGACTATAGAAGTCAGTCAGTCAATTATTTTATATTTATGAAATTATGTAATATATTACTATTCAGAATATATTCTTAGTAAAAAAGATTTTATTTAATTACCAATTGTCTTATAATAACAAAAAACATCAAATTCACTGCTTAGAGAATGTTCAAAATCGTTTCATACGTTTTTTAGCATACAAATGTAATGTTATATGAGAGTCACATTCTCCTTACCAGCCATTATTAAATTTGTTTGAACTTGATACTTTATTGGATAGAAGAAAAAAAATAGATTTGAAAATTTTATTTAAACTAGTAAATGGTTACACTGATTGTCCAGAACTATTAAGTTTCCTCAATTTTAATGTTCCTCAACGTAGAACTAGGTCTAATAATACTTTTTATATAGGTTCTCAAAGTACAAATTATTTATTATCTTCACCTATAAACAGAATTATGTCATTAGCGAACGATACCAACATTGATTTATTTAATTTTACTTCCTTGGAATCTTTTAATAATTATGTTAATAGATCTTTATGTTTTTAATGGATTTTGTATTATAATTATAATTATTATTCTTGTATTATTGTGGTTATTATTATTATTATTAATTATTATTGTTACTACTATTTGTATAATTAATATTAATTTCAATATTGTACTATTAAATATATAAATATTGAACCTGGATCTTACGATCCAGAATAGAATTTTAAATAAGTAAATAAATAAATAATAATCGTTAGAAAAATGTATTGGATCAATTTTTTTTTACTGCTTACATGGCAAACAGAACGAAATTATGTAACAAAAAGTAAGTTCTAACTCAGTGCTTGGAATGAACTCGTTCAAAGGAATCCCTTCCTTTGATTTCGTTCCATTTTTAGGAACTTATCAGGAACGTAGTTCCTTTTTCATGTTTAGGAACGTACTGAAATTTCGTTCACTTTTTAGAGGAACATAAACTATTTTTTTTCGTTCCTTTCTTTGTTCATTTATTTTTAAATAAAAGTAATTAAATCATTTTTAAAACTAAAAGTAAAAAAATGTTTAGCTTCTATTAAAATTTAGTAACTAATATGAAGAGCTATAAAAATAAACCTGTATACGATATTATTGATAATGTTTACAAAATATAAATTCTGTATTTCTGTAGCAGAGGTTTATTTATACAGCTTATTAATTATATAATTTAAAACTATTACTAAATTCCTAAATAACAATGTGTTATGTTTACAATTTTAAAATTAAAACAATTATAGTATAAACATGTACGATGTACCTATGTTTTTTTATTTTATTTTAAGTCACATTAAAAAGGAACGAGGAAAGGAACTAATTCCTATCTTCAAGGCAGGAATGGCAAAGAATTTAGTTTCTTTTTTAAAGGAAGTTTCTAAGCACTGTAACTCCATCTCATTCTGATGCAATATGTCTAAAATCCGTTTTCTGGGGGGGGGGGGGGCTAGATAAATAAATCGACATATTATAAGGTGGTATACCGCACGACCCACCATAAGTTAATTTTATGTTTGTTTAGAAAATTTTTTTTTTGAGCTTATGTGCTAAGCGTATACCCTAGAAAAAAATTACCAATACATCACTGATAATCAGTAATAAGTAAATATGTAATTTATTTAATATACCTTGTGTTTATGTTTAACAGTAGTAGGTTTTGCCTTCTGAATAGGTTTTTTTTCGGTTCTGGTTTGATATTTATCAAAATTAGACAATAAACCAGAACTATAATACCGACACCGATTTTTCTGTAAAAAAAATAATTAATGATACAAAAACAAGGTTTGACACAAAATAACAAAATACTAGTATAAATTGTTTCCATTATCAACTTAATTGAAGTTATAATAAATTAGTTCAACATATCAAATATTGGGATTTGACAAAACCCTAATTCATAAATATCAATTAAAAGTGAATATCAATGATCAGTTGCAAGACCACTCCTGGATGTGTTAGCGACTAGCGTCAAGACCCAATAATACTTATTTTCTCCACAATTACCTATTTAATGCAAACTACAACCAATGACCCCACTTGTTCGATCTGATTTAAGAAAATCATGTAATCTACATATATAATTATCTCGTATACTAAGTAATCATCTATTGCATATTGGGTTGTGTTTTATATATAAATAATGACAATCAAAACCCAACATTAGTAAATATAACATAAAAATAAATGAAAATTTTTTTTTTTGTCAAATCCTAATATTAAATGTAAATTGATAAATTTGTACTAATGAGATTAATAAAAGTTTTCAATAAAAATACAAATTGACAAAGTAAATTATAAAAATTATTTGTATCAAATAATTTACATTTTTAGCAGAAAGGAATTGTTTTTGATATTTTTTTTTGTATAAGTGTAGCTGTATCATGATTTGTAGATCTTCTTCTGTTACTACATCGTCAGGATCATCTGAATCATCGTTATCCAAGAGAAGATTTTGTAGCCATAAACGGTCATCACCAACATTTGATAAATTGTAATAACGAGAACGGTCAGCAGCAAGTTCTAAAATTAACAAAGTAATAACTATTTAACTAATAAAAGTCTTTAATATGTTCAATAATTGACTTCTGTTTTACTTAATGAAAATATCAGTTGGTTATTCTTTGCTAAGAAATGTATTAGTTTATAGCTTTTTTCCTTGGCAGTTAATATGAGAGTAAATCTCCAATCTTAATACTTACGAGTATGAAACATAGTGGATTTGTCCACTACCAGTACTATGCTACATCATTTAAAAGTCTTTACGGGAAGTTTAAACAGAAAACTCACCTTCTGATGTCTCAAGATCACTGAAATCGCCATCTAAATCTGTATCACTTGAATCCTCTCTGAAAATACAATATAAATTAGTTATTGCAAGGCATAAACATAATACATTTAGATTTCATTAATCCATAGTTAAATATTATACCGGCCACAGAATAAATTACATTCATTATGAGCTCTGACCATAAATATAACTAAGGTTGTAACAACAACACAATATAATGCATACTACAATAATTCATAATACAAAGTACAAAACTAAACTAAAAAAAAATTACCCGAGAGGTGTTTTGAAAATGTTTTCCACATGGTTCAAATAGGGTTCAATATTTATAGCTTGTATAATCTGTTGGTAATGTAGCGGTAAAGCTATTTCGTTGTTATTCATTTCACCATTCATTATTAAAAATTTTATTTAAAAAATAGTTTAAAATTGTTCATCAAAACTACAAAGAATCATGTTCGGTTAAATTATTAAAAATTAATAATACATATTTCAATGAAATCTAAAACTAACAATTGAATAAAAACCTTGTAGCCATTATAAAATTATTTCAAGATTATTCATAGTTTCGCACTTTCGCACGAGAAAACTAATCGGTAATCAGACTTATCAGTTATCAATATAACATTAATGAAAAATGTAAACAAAATATTGATGAACAGAATACCAAACTACTGATACTATTAACAGGTTCGACAATTGAATAAATAGAAATTATTTGCCATCACAGATACATAAAAATTATTAGTATTTTTATATATCTGTGTTTGCCACACATTTACTGCATTTATCATTGTTGAGTTGTTGACTGTTCAAATTTTTAATGAATAATTTATTATTTATACCATTATAATATCATTGTTGTTTACATTTATAAAAATATAGCCGTATTATGGATTCTGTAAAAACACGACGGAACTTCCTAAAACCGCCACGAGAGTACGGTACGATAGGTAGTACCATGAAGATCAGATAATATATTATAAGAAGATTACAATTACAATTCTTATATTATAAGAAGACCAAACTCCTATAGCCGCTCGTTTATAAAGTGGCCTGACAAAAGTCGCACGGTTATTCTGCCACCAGGAGCGCGACGTTCGATAGCAGTGCTACGTTTTACAATTATAGCATGTAGTATAATAGGGGTTATGTACGTTTTTCGAATTAAACTTGATTTATTATTCCTATTTCCTAAAACATAAAAGTATAAAACAATAGTAATTTGTATTTTGTGTTTTATTTCTTACACATTAAAAATGGTTAATTGTTGTTTCGTGCCAGGGTGTAATACTGGTTATGCAGGTTATGCTTTAGATGTCGAACATCAAAAAAAAATTGGATTTAAAAAAAAAAAATTATTTTGAATTGGACATTTTAGACAAAGGACATTCCGAAAAAATTGAAATTGCACATGATCGCGCGTGATATGTGCGCCTAGCACTTTTGGGTATTTCCGCTTTACCACCCGGCACTTTTAGGGATTTCCACTTTACCGCCCTCTGGACGGAAAAAGGACGCTTTCGAACGCTTCAAGCCGTGGTTTCCTACAACCACGCATCCGTGATTGCGTGGTGCGCGATGCGTGATGCGTGATCACGCAAAAGTTGAAACCATGAAAAACCATATTTGTGTTTATCAATAATTCACGCACGTGAATATTCACGCGCGCGATTGTCGATTCACGCACTACAGTCGCGCAACAGTCGCTAGTAGAGCAACATTTGCGTGTCACGCAGCGGAGGACGAAAATATACCCTTCTTATTATAATATATTTATTATTATTTATTATATAATATAAATTGTATTTAAATATTTATTGCTTATAATAACTGCATATATTACTCAAATTATTATTAAAATTAGTAGGTAAGTACCAATTCCATACATTTCATTTAAAAACATGCTTATTCATTGACAATGTGCAAATCATCGACAAATTCAATAAATATTTTAGATCGTTCATTAGTTTTCAAAAAAACTATGGAGTCAAAATCATTTAACTCAGTAGATGACGAAAAGCTGATTGAATGTGTCCGAAATTATCCTGTTTTGTACAAATTAAGCGACAAAAATTATAAGGATAATTCCGTCAAAGAGAACGCCTGGAAAGAAATTGCACACTTCGTAGGAAAAAATGGTAAAATCATTGGTTTAAATATTTATTATTATGATTGTATCAAATTTAGATTCGGAATTTCATATTATTTATATTATATGGCGACTCATGGGTTTTTAGCGAGGCGTAGTGCACAATCAAAAATAAACAAACATCTATAAATAGATGTTTGTTTATTTTTATATATATATTTTTATAATGCATTTTTTAAATAATATAATATGTAATATAAAATAATATGTATAAGGAAAAAATGTAGTTTATTTTTAAATTAAATAATATTATAAGAGAATACAATAAAAAATAAATACTTATTTTACTTTATTCTAAAATTACCAAATAAAACAAAACAAAATTGAAATCATAGAAAATACTTTTGAAAATAGCCCAATGTATACAATAATATTATTTCAATTAGTTCGTGTGACGTGTTTTTGCTGCCAGCTCACTGATCCTATCCTGCTGTTAAAATAATCTTTAAAAGTTTCCCTGACTCGAAAAGCTTCATGTGTTGCATTTCCCCCTATTGCACTTAATTGTATCATGTTCGTTTGTACGTCCGTTATGGGATCTTTTTCTGTTGAATCTGTAGGACACACCATTCGTTCATCTCGCAATAGATTATGGATAATACACGATGCCATTATTAAGTTGTCTACTGTCTCAGGAAGAATATTAATTGGTGTAAAAAATACTCGAAAATTTTGACACATAATTCCAAACGTATTTTCCGTTGTTCTTCGCGCTCGACTTAAACGATAATTAAAAATGGCTTTCGTTTGATCTGTTTTCGATTGATTTCGAGGATAGGGCCTCATCATTGTTTCCGTTAATTTAAACGCTTCATCACCAACAAATACATGAGGCACGACTATATCAGTATTTGGTAAGCACTCTGGGTCTGGAAATTTAAATTTTCCAGTTGAAATCAATTTTCCTAAATTTGATTTAGGGAAGATTCCTGCATCTCCTTCTTTTCCATATGACCCTATGTCGACCACTAGAAACTTGTAATTCGCATCACATAAAGCCAATAGAACAACGGAAAAAAATGATTTAAAATTAAAATATAGTGATCCAGAGCTATCAGGGCAAACGATCCTTATGTGTTTCCCGTCAATAGCGCCGCAGCAATTCGGAAAATTCCACATTTCATAGAAATCATTCGATACTTTTTTTAAACTATGTTCGGTAGGTTCTGGCATTGTTATGTTTTTCAATCGGTTACAAATAGCTACAAGTACTTCCTTTATAATGGTACTTATCCAGCTGTGCGATATTCTGAACTGAAATGAAAGAGATCTGTAACTCTCTCCGGTTGCTAAAAATCTGTAAAATGTAAATACATTTAAATTATTTTTAGTAAACGACTGCAAAACACGTTGGCGTACAGTAAGAGATTCGTACAAAAAAAATTTGAAAAAACGTAAATTAGGTACTGGTTCAGCAGCTCCTACAAAATCAAAGTATAACGATGATGCATTAAGTTTCTTAAACAACATTGAAGATGAAAGAAGGTAAAAACAAATTATTATTAATAAGCTACTTTATACGTATACTTATGTATAAATATGTATTTAAATTTTTAATCAACATTTCATAAAATTCGGAGATAACAATTTTTTTTTGAGATTAATTGTTGTAATATAAAAATATTTTATTTTTTTAACTAAATAGTAAATACTACAATGAGTAGTAAAGTCTATTAATTTTACCTTTTATCCATATTTTTGTATCTTTTAGATTCTGAGTGAAACGATGAATGTATTGATTTTACAACGATGTGTGTTTTTTTATTTTTGTGTCTGTCATCACGTTGTAGGACAGTAAAAATGCTTGGATTTTCTTCAACAGTAACTTTTCTGATAGGAAAATGAATCTAGTTGGTACTTTGGGGGGGTCAAAAGTAAATATTTCCCAGTAGTTTTCAATAGGGCCGTGAAAAACAAAAGAAAAATTAGGAAAAAACGGGAATTTTTACGCAAAATCGATTTTGGTTTTTGGTGTAACATTAAAACACATGACCGTAGATAGGTACATGAAATTTTCACTGGTTGTTTATATTTGCATTTTCTATACACGATAACATTTTCAAAATATTGTTGTTGATGTATAACGCGTTATAAGTACCTAATGGATATTGTGATATGATTAATTTGGAATTTATTATAGGACATATAGGTACCTATTATAGGTAAATTTTTTTTAATACCATAGATAAGTATATTATAATGTCTTATACCTAGACTGACATACCGTCTCCACTCAGAATCGTTTTTCTTAAACAATGATATTATATCATTGAATTCAAATTTAATACCATCCATTATACAGTGACCAACTTGTAACTTACAGTACAGCAGAGCGACATCCACTTGCCCACCTTTTTTATTTTTATTAATATTTAAAATACATAAAATGGTATTACTTTAAAATAATTTAAAATTACCACAAGAATATTTCAATAATTTCTGAATTCGATTATTTTTTATTAAATAACACAAATTAATTTTAGAACTTACATAATATTAATGATGAAAATTATGAGTTTAAAATTTAATTAATTAATTAATTAATTAATTAAATTTAATTTTGCACTAGTAAGTGTATATTGAGATTTGAATAAAAAAACACACACCACTGTAGATCCAATAACTTCTTCGTTTCACTGAGAATCTTAAACTTCCACCCAAAATGCAAAAATGCTACCACCCCTACCAGTTTTTTTTATATTACTGCTTAAAATTCAAACATCTTATGATTTATAAAATTATTTCTAGAACTAAGTCGAACATTGCCTACAATGAAAACTTAAACTATTCAGAGGTTATGGAAAATGAAAGTTTTAATCAAACTGCGGAGTCAGAAGAAAATAGTTTTTCTAATAATTCTGGTCAAGTTTCATTAGAAACAGATAATTCGATAGTCGATCAACCACTGGAAAATGAAATACGTGATAGTTTGACAGACAGATTTCGAAAACCGTATGAAAAACCAAAAAAAATTGGAACAAAGGATAAGATAATTGAGGAAATCAAGAAAGGGCGAGAGGAGCGTTTGGCGGCATTGAAAGAGATGAGACGAGGCGAATTATGTAATGATCCAATTCAAATTTTTTTTAAAAGCATGGCTTCGACAGTGGCAACATTTCCCCCAGAATTGGCCGTAGAAGCAAAAACTAGAGTTTTTAATATTATTTCCGAATTGGAATTACGCGCAATAAAGGCAAAGGCTTCGAATACAACATCCGTAGAACCAATTGTACCGGTATCGCCTATTCCATCAAAACAAATAGTTCAGACAATATTTGTCGAAGAAGGTTCTTCGAGTTCTGCAACTTCTGCAACAAGCAGTGTTTCATGCCCTACCGCAGCAGAAAACTCCAGTTTTGCTTTTTTACAATATTATAATAATGATAGTAATGATAATAATGATTATTAATTTTTTTTTTACAATTATTAAACCTAGGTGTTATTATTTTTATATTTTGTTTTATTTTGCAAAACACATTTTAAAAGGGTTGTTATGTTTTTAATTTATTTTAAGAAATATTTGTATTCTTTATTTTTTTTTTGTATTTAGGTAAATCGTGTAGTTTGTTTATAACAAAATATCTACAATTTCAGATATATGGACAGCAATTTTTTGTAACATTTTAGTAAATGTTACTATACTTAAATAATTAAAATGTATGTATACATCTTGTTCGTATACTGTTATTAAAATGAAATATCGGTGTTATAATATGATGTACCTATATTTCAACGTGTTATTATATTGCTATTTAAACCATTTTAAGTATTTATGTAATATGTCTCCTGCAACAATAACTTTTTTTCAAATCATAATAATATTTAAATAAATTAAATTATGTACTTGTTTGTTAAAAACTAACATGATATATTCTATTTTTTTTTAAATCTCAATTACTGAATATTCAATAATTATAATATCATAATTAACTTACCTTAGAGTGAGAGCGAGTTTTTCCTCCGGTGATATTGGTCTTTTAACTCTGTTACTTGGACGTCTTTTTATATCGTCTTTAATATAATCTAATATATAATTGAATAGTTCAAGTGATACCCTAAAATATGCACGAAATCTAATTTCGTTATCTATAAGGCGTCTTTCAACTAAAATATTATAACATCCTTCTCTACTTCGTTCAATAAACATTTCGTCCTCTTCATCCCTGAAATAATTTGCAAGTAGCAACAGTTCTTCGTCAGCTTCGTCTTCTAAAATATTATAAAGCGTCAACACGTCCATTTTGGCGAAGAACTGGACACCAACTGACAAATATTTTCATCACGCACTCATAATCACGCACTGTGTAGCAAAACATCATCACGCAACACGCATCACGCATCACGCAAGTGTGATCGCGGAATAACACATCGCGCACCACGCAATCACGGATGCGTGGTTGTAGGAAACCACGGCTTCAACCGCTATCGAAAACCAAACTTTCTGTGCAGGTGTGACAAAAAGTCAGTTGTCCCACCAGAAGCTAACGAGTAATGAGTTTCTACTTTCTAGAGTACCTACACTTAAATACTTTGATACGTCACTGCCCACGGATACCGGGCCACCGGGGTACGTACAAAAAGGTTGGTTCGGGAGAATATATAAAACTACGTCGCATTTAAGCATTGTATCCACTAGTTATGGAACGGGCATGAAACGACATTGCATGGGGAACATCGAACCATCGAAGTAACCAACAAACAATATTTATGAGAGCTAGAATAATAGATTCAAACGTATGGTGAGGCACTGGGGCATAATAACCATCCTACGGTATGGAAGCTAATTGATTATAAAATGTGACAGGAAATAAATGTCGATATCAGAAAAACAGAAATAAATTTTATTGGGCTAACGTCTAAAAGGAAACAAAATAGGTACTTTGGAAGACCGTCATATTATGTCAAATGATAACAAACCAGTGGAACTGATATTTCAAAATAGACCACATTGTTTACAGAAAAGGAGTAGGGACCACAGATATATATATATATAAGTTATTATATATATCTGTGGTAGGGACTATAGTAACGATAATGGTAAATTACATGTGGCAATTAACTTGTATATACCTAGGTACAAAGTTATAATAACAATAAATAATAAAATAATTATTTAATAATTTTTACAGACTAATTTTAATATAATAATTTAATAGATATACAAGTAATTTTAAAATTATAATAGTTACGAATATAGTAATATAATAATACATTATATTTTTTTTTAAATTTTTTTTTCTAGGACTTTTTTTCCGTTTATTCTGACTTTTTTACCGTATTACAATCGTTAAACTAAGGTTAAACCAACGAATTCGGCCGGTAAAATCAATGGGTTAAGCGTAACCGAGGTTTAAACTATGATTGAAACTTGAAAGTATAATATATCTACCTATACTTTGAAATTATGTTTGATATTTTTTTTTTTTTAATAGGTTTTTCTTTTATATCAATGTATGTATTTCATAGACCTTATACTCGTAGGTTATAAGGTATATGATGTATTTTTACTTTTATACTCGTTCATCTAACTTAGGTATTTTATTTTTATTGAATTTTAGCAACTATCGAAAAGTCAATACATTTTGCATTGTATTAAAACGAAACTTTTTGATAACGCCATGTTTTTGTTATGGTCGAGAATCTAGATACCTATACCTATGCAATACGCGACATATTATTTTTTTTTTGTACAACATAATATTTTATTTCCATTACAGTTATTACTTGTCGATATGTTATAATTTTGTTTTTTGTATATTTTAGATTATTATGTGCAGATTTATCGATTTTAACTTCTAAAACTTCTGAGCCCGATTTTTGATTTTTACATACCAAAATAGGTAAATAAGGTACATACTACGAAAAATATTATGCTTTTTTTATAAAAACAATCGTTGTTCATCAGCTATTAGCTATTAGCTATTAGTTGTCGATCAAGTCCCAGACGTCTAGACGAGAAAAAAAACGTTTAGTTCTATCATACTAATATGCACAGGTAGAACCTAGAGAGCCTTGATATTTATAATATATATATATATACATATAGGTATCAAAGCTCCCTATTGGTATTGGCTATCACTTTTTAACTACTGCTATGCACTAATCACTAATACATTACTGTATAGGTCACTAGACAATGTCTGGTGGGGGGACGCGTTGCAGTCCACATGATATTAATAAATAATAATATTTTGGCAAAGGTAGATTATCAAGAAATAATAATGGGTTACGCATGCGCAGATGTAGTATCATAATATCCTATAATAAGTGGCTATAACCTGTAATTCTGTCTTCTGTACTGGGATCAGTACTGTCACTACTGTAGTCAGTAATTAGGCGCGCGCTGAGTGCTGACACATGTTGCGTATTATCACTTATCATTATTCAGTATTCTAAATGTTATTTTCACATTGTCTCAAAGGCTGACTCATTATTGTTACAAATTTTAAAATTTTGAATTACGTGCTAACAGTCAATTACAGTAGTTCAGTGTACACTCTACAATCAAAGGAACAAAGTTTACCCTGGACAAAAGTACGATCATTGTTACTAAATGTATACTATTATTTATCATATTATAATGTAGGTGATTTGAAAAGTACTTTGGTAGATTAAAGATTAGTAAAATAATAGTAAATTCAAAAAATAATGAAAACATTCAAATTGATGAACTATGTTTAAAAGAGGATTCATAATTCATATTATAATACTTTAATCTATTCAGAGTGGTAGGGATTTGTTATTACCTTTGTATACTGTTTATATTCAAACATTAGTTCTAAGAGATACATAATCTATTAATTTATATAAAGGTTATACGTTTTTAAATAGATGTTTGATTTTGTGTTTTAGATGACAAATTATCCTAAAGAAACCATGAGTTGGAGTTGTTTAAATACTAAAGAAAATTTATTCGAATTATTTACTGGACGCATTGATTTTGATATTATTGAAATATTGTTAGAAAACAGAAATAATGATTGTAAGTTTTAAATGTTGCCTTTATAAACATTATTGTATTTGTTTAGATTATGTTTAGATACTTGTATTGTGTACTAACGTATTTACATATCTGTCATAGTGTCGTCGTGTAGATTTAATAATTCGTTAAATTTGTTTTATAAATCAATATTTATTTATTGAGGACTTTGTTCTTACTTACGTTTGAGTTTCAACATTATACCTAACTAATGTATTTCATGGAACAAATATCTAAAAATAGATGAAATCTGGACTTTACTTTACCAAGCAAATAAAAAACCCCAGTGTATTTATTTTTCCGTATCCATTATTTTATTTTTATAATGTATGTCTTGGGTTAACATTCCAGAAAAGTTTTTTGTGTCCACACTTTATTATAACCTTAAAATATAAACTAGCCTTATAGGCCATAGAATATGAATATTATCGTATTTCTTTAATCAAATTTCAACTAAATTTCAATTTTTGATTTGTAAAATACTATCAATTACCCTTGTATTAAAAAATAAAATTAACTTCACTTTCTTTCATTAAGTATAATTTTTATTTTCAATTCAATTATTTAAAATGGTAGACCAATTTAGTTTATATTTACATTGAATTTAATCAGTTTTTATTTAATTATTATTTGAAATTCATTGCCATCAGTATGATATAATCAAGGTAATTATAATACATGGTAGTGCCACTTCACTATCGAAATCACGATTGTTATTTTTTATCGCCATCAGTATCAAATATTTTTAACCAGTAATTACAAGTAATTTTTTGCGGCAAATTTAAATTATATTTTATACGGCCTTAAACTATAAACTAATCTGATTGGTTCCACTCTCGGCCACCATTTTATTTCAATAGTTCAACAATCGTGATTTTGATAGTGAAATGGCACTACCATGTATTATAATTACCTTGGATATAATTTAGTTTTATAATGACTTAGTGAAGACTAATTTATTGCAGATATTGTTCTCAGCAATAATATAAGATACCATATTAAAATAAAAGTCATAAGATTTATAATATGGTTTATAATTCTATTTTCTGAATTTTTTAATAGTGTTACTGGTATATCGTGATCTTATTCAATTAACAAAGGATCCTGATCTTGAACCACACCTGAATTTATTATCCACTGAAGAGAAAAATCAAACAGCCGCAGCTTCTACTTCCAATATTCCTAAAATTAATTGGGAACGTTTATCTACAACTGAAACACCTATTAATAAAATACTATATTTAGTATCAAAACGCTTCAAAGTTTTAGTATTAATGAGAGGATGTCCAGGCAGTGGAAAATCGTATCAGGCAACTAATATTTTGAATTCGTGCTATAAAAATGCTAACATTGATGACTTTATTTTTAGTGCAGATAAGTTTTTTATAAAAAAAAATAATGGACAATATCGTTTTGATCGTACTAAATTATTTGAAGCACATGAATGGGCATTTCAAAAATTCCAAACAGCTATTAGATTAGAAGTTACTCCAGTTATAATTGACAATACAAATTGTGAAGTTTGGGAAATGGAAAAATATACTAAAGTGGCTGTAAATAATGGATATTGGATTGAAATTGTTGAACCCAATACAGAATGGGCATGGGATGGAATAGAGTTGTTCAAGAAAAATGAACATTCAGTACCTTATGATAGTATAGTTTCTTCCATTCATCGATATGAACATAATGTCAACGTTGATACTCTGTTAACTCGATTTAAATTAAACTACAATAAGAAAACCCAGCCGCCAATACAATCAAACAGTTCTAAAATGTATCAGCTTTGTGAAAATCTTATACATCAAAGAGATGTAGCTTATGAATCCCAAATTGAGATTGTTGACGATTTTAAAGAACTGTGTGTTTCACTGAAACAAAAAAAAAAAAAAAAAAAAAGCAAAAAAAAAAAATCTACTTCTGTTACCAATAATGATGAAGACGACTCTTTGACTCCTACAATTTGTATAACACAAGAAGAAAAAGATGATATTCCCGAAGGCAATGAATATGAAAAGCTATCCCATGATATTCCTGATATGTATGAAGAATCTTTGTTATCTGTGGAAGAATCTTCGTTATCTGTGGAAGAATCTTCGTTATCTGTGGAAGAAACATTAAATTATGTCAATAAATCTATAAACACGTCTGAAAATGATTTTTTGTTTATGGATGTCCTGAATGAAATACCTGAAGAAGAGTACAGTAGCTATGTTGTTTTTGGAAGAAACAGGGATATTAATGAAGGAAATCTGAATATTTTGAATATGCCTTGTGGAAAATTAGATAAAGGAACAACAACTGACGACCTAAAAGAAATGACGCCTCAACTAAATTTAAATAAACTTTATGAACAATTTCCAGAAAATATTTCTTCATTAATTATTGAATTATTTGAAAAATGTAAAGGAAATATTGACTGGATTGTAGATATGTTGAAAGAGTCTAGACATGATATATCGAAGCAACAATTGTGCAATTGTATTAAGTATGAAGACAATTATTTAATTCAAAATGTTCAACGTCAAGACATAATTGAACTTGTAAAACAAAGTAATGAACAAGATAATAATTTGTTTGATTCTCCATTAAATATACAGTCAAAAGCATTAAATAGAATCACTGAAGAATCTGATGGTAAAAAGAAAAGAAATGGTAAAAAAGTCACTGATAAAAAAATACAGAGAACATTTAAAGTTGTTGATGATGATTTAAGAAAAGATATTGAAAATAAATTTACATTTGGTGATTCATTGTACTCTGACCATGTTTTAAAGATAAAAAAATTTAAAGAAAATCAAAATGCAATAGATAGTACTGATTTTATTTTTCCAACATCCGAGAACGTCGAAGAAGACTTTATAACTGAAAAAGATGATGAGAGAGACTTTGTTCAGTTAGTTATGGATAAAAGTGTACTTGCTCAATTATGTGAATATTTTGGCGATTTTTCTCCTAATTTTAGTAAGTACCGTGTATATATTTTTAATTTTCAAAAAACAATTTATATTTTAATCAAATGATTTTGGTTCCAGATCAAAATACAGTACTAATGCCAGTGAAATTACCCGAAAAGTTGGCTGAAGAACTTTATTATTATTTGATTGCAAATACGCCTTTAGATGTTTGTAATCAAGATGGTATTTTACAAGGTAAAGATTAAATACAGTAGAAACTCGATTAATCGTCACTGTCGGAAACCGGGACTATGACGGTTAACAGAAAATCAGCCATAAACATACATATTTTCATGCAAAAATAATACAAACATGTATACTGTACACAATAATCCGTCATCCTCTTTTGTTTCTTCGAGTCTTGAGTTTTTTGAGCGGCAATGTTTTGTATTTTATGGAGAAGTAAGACCTGCGTTGCATGTGCCGGTTTTTTGGAGGATGACGATTAACAGAGGATTGAGTTAAAAGTGTGACGGTTAATGGAGTTTCTACTGTATTTAAATATTAGTCCAAAAAAAATATTTTATATTTACATGGTTATTTATATTAAAATGTCTTAACTATGTTTTAGCAATAATCTTATTAATTCTATAATGCATTGTATATTTTTATACATAATGTCATGGGAAAAAAAAAATAATATCCGAATTACTTATCAATTAGGTTAATATTTAACATGCAACAAAAGGTTTTTAAGTTAGTACTTAGTATTGATTATACATGGTCAGTGGCGGAAGGCGGATCCAGCGGCGTATTTAGGTTTTTGTCTTGGGAAGGGAGGATATGATTTTATTCAGTAGATTTTATCCGCCTCTAAAGCTAGAGGCTTTAAGTTAGGACTCCGATAACTTTTGCATTTTATATAAAGACTATGGGGGGGGGGGGATTGATCCCCCGTAAATACGCCATTAAGCCGAACTACATATGAGTAAAAGCGGGGTTTTTTTAGACCTCATCATTGAAAATTCTGAATTATTTAAAATTGTTTAACAGTTAATTGTTCATCTTTATATATATAATTTTACTGTGTGTTGTGACTGAACTCCTCCTAAACGGTTGGACCGATTTGGCTGAATTTTTTGTATGCCTTTGGATGACGTCCCTGATGGTTTAGATTCACAAATCATCCCCCTAGGTTCAACCAGGGGATGGGCTCAAACGAAGATTTTGAGCTTTACGGTGGAAATTTTTATTTATAAACGGTTGCCATGGGTTTTAAAGTTATTATAATAATAATTATTGGTTGTCGTGAAATCAGTGTATTCATTCAATGCATTTAATTTTTTTTGTATACTGTGTTTTGATATTATATTTATTGCAATTATGTAAATATTGAGCATATTATACTCACATATAAGTTACGTACATAAAACAATGCCACGTCTTATGTAGGTAACAGAGTAGGAAATCCTATCGAGGAGGAAATATTGGTCGACAGACTCGGCAATCACAACTAAAATTTGGTGCTTCTAACTTAGTACCAAAGATTGTATAAATAGCATAAGCTTCATATAAATATTTTCTACCTACCAACACAGTATATTTTGAAAAAATAAGAAAATAAAATATAAAAATATTATATAGTTAGAACTTAGAATTGTTATTTAATCTCAAAAGTAATTCTTTATCAACAGTACACACAAAAAATTCATGGGAAACAAATAACAATTGGTAACCAAAAGTATTCCATTAAGTCTGGTAAATGTTTATTTTAATTTTCTCTATTATACTTGATCCATTTCATTAAAGATTTATACACCTATTAGTAATTAGGAAATTATTTAGTTTTGGTCAAGCCGTTCCTGAGGAGTTCAATAACAAACACTGTGGCAGGACATTTTTTATATATTAGATATATATATCAACTTGATATGTTGTTGCACAATGACTCATGACTGCGATCCAACGTAGTCGGTTTGCCTACCAGGGTGGCTGAATTGCACTTACTGCTGCGAGTTACATCCAAAAGGATTTGAACAATAACAATTTTTTAAAGGGTTGTCATTTTTTAAGGGCAACAAAGTGCACAGGGTCAGCTAGTATTTCTATATATTTCTCTTTTAAAAGGACGCTACCCATGTATTTGTTGTCTCTGTCTTACACACTTAAGGCATAGCAAATTTTTGTTCACTAGTTTCAATAGTATGCTGTTATTTTTGATATTAGAGTGATTTTACCTATTATAACATTTTTAGATAATAATATTATTTGTGCTTAAGTGTTGGCTTTTATTCGATATTTTAATTTTCAAGTGAGATATAAGCATTTTTAATTTATGATATTTCACATACACATATCTTACTTGAAAATGAAAATATTAAAAAATCGCCAACGCTTCAGCAGTTCAGCACAGATAATATTCTTACCTAAAAGTATGATGATAGGTCAATTCACTCTAATATTAAAACTAATAACACACTATTGAAACTACTTACCGGAAATTTGCTATGTCGTGCTTGTGTAAGACGGAGACAACAAATGCATGGGTAGCGTCCTCTTAATGATATACCTATTACTTTTGAATGATATTATAATAATAAAAGGTACAGTACAAAAACCATCAGCCCCTCCCCTGATCTACTATAGTGCACTCTATTAGAAAGATTATACATCTAGTAGAAATGAGACTGTTCGGTTGTTTCTACTGTTTTTAATATGTATGTATATAGTATATACAATGTGTCCCACGAAGAAGTGATTGACCGGTGTCATATGATAGTTAACCTTAAGTTATTAAAAAAACCCGTTAAAGAGAGGGTCTAACTTTTTATTTTTTTTTTTGTTATGGGTAATTAAATTTTTTTAATCAAAACTGTACTTACTTTTGTTTTTATTATTTATTAATAACTGATATTTTTTAAATTGTGATATTGTTATTGTTAGATGAAACTTTGGCTAGAAGACTACAAGAAGAACCTACAGAAGAATGTTCTTCTAGTAGTTCAAATTCCTATATTGTAAGATATAGTTAAAAATTAAAATAGTCATTTTGCTGTTCAAAATGTTGTCACAATTAATGAGAATTTAAATTTGTCTCTACAGGGAGAAAACACATTTTCTGCAGTTTTAACAAAAAAATTGCTGTTGGAGAAATTTAAACACATTAATTCCGCACATGTTCTAAATGTTTTGCGTGCTAAAAATTATAAATTTCATGTAATTAAATAATTATTTTAATACATATATTATGAATTTAAACCGTAAAAAAAATTTTTCTCCAGGAAGCAAATGAATTTCTAAGTGAGTCATCAGGAATGAAACATTCGTTAAACCAAGATAATCCAACCGTTCAAGTAATAAATATTCATTACTCAATATTTAATAATAGTTAAAATACATAGTTTGTTTTATGTGATTATAATATAGTCACATATATTAAAATAAAATATTTTGTGTTTTTTCCTATATTATACAATGTAGAAATATTATTATAGGAAAATGAAAGAAGTTGTGTTAATTGGGTAGGACATAATGCATCCAATAATGATCAAGATTATAATAGAGTAGCTCAAGAATTTTCAATCCAGAGACAACAGCTTTTACAAAAAGCTAACCAATCGTTAAGCAAAAAACATCCTTCAGTCACAACGTATTATTTAGAGCAGGTAATTATATACCTTAAGCATTTTTGTGAAAAGTTATAGATTGCATGATTTAATTATGTTTATTGTATAGGCCGACATAGTTAAACAAAACGAAAAAGACGCTAAAACCAAAGCTCTTATAGAAATGGTTAAACAAAATGAAAATGCCACTTCCTTAGATTTGCACAATTTAACAGTAATGCTAGTTCAATTTACTTTTTTTGAATAAATTGTATTAAATGTCATGTCTTGTTAGGTTTCAGGTGCCATTGTGGCACTAGATTTATATTTGGATAATCATATATCAAATTTGAAAAAACATAATGGAGCAAATAGAGGTAGACAACTAACCATTATTACAGGCCGTGGAAAACATAGTCCCAAGGGTATAGCTCGCATCAAACCAGTTGTTATAAAAAGACTTCAAGACAGATGTTTAATGTAAGATGGTATTTTTAAGTATTATTTAACCTTATAATTCAATAAAATGTATTCAAAATTAACTTTCAGGTATTTGGAACCTGAAATACCAGGGACAGTAATGGTTATTATCAAAAAGAATTCTTCGCTCAGTTCAGAATATTAGAAGTTATTAATTTGTATGTTTATTTATGTTTAATTAGATACTGATGATATGTATTTAAATAGTTATAGTTAGATATTTTTTCATTGACCTGATTTAACTTTAATTGTTGATAAGTTATAATTAAGTAAATAGTATCATTTAATTTCCTAGTAGTTGTAAATTATGCTCACAACATGGATGTTATCTGTTTATCATAATTTTTTATTTTTATAAGTATTTTTACGTTACAAATTAAACTTATTGATATATTATCTTGTTTAACATTTATTTCCTTAAAATATAGTTGTTATATTTGAATAATGATTATTTATAATAATGATTTTATATTTAGTTGTACAATTTATTTATTTCTTATACCTATCTATTTAAGAGGATGTCATTCATGCTTGTGTTTCTCATCTTACAGGAGCGAGTAACATAGCAAATCTTACTAGAGCGTTACAGTAAATAGGTACTAAATTTACATTTAGCATCGTTATTTTAAATATTAGAGTAAATATATCTATAACTAATAACATTTTCTATGATTTGTTGAAAATATTTATTTTTTGTTTATTTTTAAGGGAATTATTAGCATTTTTAAATTTCAATATGTTATAGGGAGCCTATAAAATGTTGGAAACTAATTTCACTGAAAACAAAACTTACAAAAATTATAAAAAAAAAAATATTTTATTGAAAATAATTGAATAGAAAAATAATTGCCATTGAATAAAAATTAATTGAAAATAATTTCATAGTAAATAATAGTAAAGAAAAAGAAAAATTGGATTACTAATTTTATGGAAAATAATTAGGTTGAAAAACCACACACTTCCTAAAATTATTTACGCCGATGACATTTGTACGACGTCTCAACTCTCAAGGAAAGGAATTCAGCAAATATGAACAGATATTAAATTCTTACCTCGCTATATTGGACTCATACTTCAAGCTATGGAGGCTAAAAATAAAACAGAGACTGAAAGTTCCATCTAAATAATAAGTAAGCTAACTTTATACAAAAAAAATCTGCTCTCAACGATCATATTGTGGACTATAATCCAACCTCCAAGTACTTGGAGATTAGTAGGAAGTTATATACTTCCTCATTGGTTCGAATTCTCCATTCTTTGGTTCCTGTGTAGAGACAAAGTCCATAGATTCGTCTTAAAACTTTTCTTTCAAAGGTGTCCAATCTTATTTCCTCTATCTTTCTTGGAGCCCATGTTTCTGACCCATATAAGATGACCGGACGTATTAATGTCGTATATATTTTTATTTTTAAATTTAGAGATATTGATCTAGATTTTAGTAGGGTTCCCAAACCAAAATAGCAGTTGTTGGCCAGTTGTATCCTTTTTGAAATCTCTACTTTTAACTCATTGTCCTGAGTTAAGAGGACCCCTAAGTATTTAAATTGTGGAACCCTGTGGAATATATGTCCATCTACATTCATACTTTCTCCGTGTCTATACGTCCTGTTCTCTTCTGTTGAGTTTCATATATTCCATCTTACTTTCTGTCTTAATATAGTTAACTTAGTAAATTAAATATGTATGGTTGTAATATATATGTACCTAGGTAATTAATTAGTTAAATTAACTACCTACCTACCAAATTTGATTAGAATAACTATTATTGTTTAAGTACATTGTAATAATTCAGGTCAAATTTTTGGGCTGCTAGATTTATACAAACCAAAGAATCCAGGGGGTCCCAGGGCAAAGCCTCACCTCATTTTAATTTAGGTATATCTTACACAATATATGTCAATACCATAACATAATAATAATAATACTATAACAGAATAATTGTGTTATGGATACCTCTCACCTTAGATTACCTATTATATTGAAAACCAACAAATAAAAATATATTATTATAATATTATTTCATACATGTAATCAGTGCCGTAACTAGGCTACTTGAGGCCTGTGGTGCAAAACCAAAATATTGAGGCCCCTATTATCTTTTTCAATACACACCTCAAAAACTTTTTTTGCAATAATTTTTAAAGTCGGGCTTAAACAAAAAAAAAAAATTTAATTTAAAATAATCTATAGTTTTAAAACAATTTCTCAAGGCTATAACTAACTCAAAAAAGTAAAAATTTTCCAAAATGTAATTTATTGAAAATATTCATATAAATATTTGGTGAAAACTTAAATTTTCTTCGGTTTTTAGTTTTCGAGTTACACCAAAAAATAAAATTTTTGGTTTTAAGTAAATAGACAATATTTTAGATTCTGAGTGAAACAATGAATGTATTGATTTTACAATGATGTGTGTTTTTTTTTTTTTGTGTCTGTCATCACGTTTTAGGACAGTAAAAGTGCTTGGATTTTCTTCAACAGTAGCTTTTCTGATAGGAAAGTGAATCTTGTTGGTACTTTGGGGGGTCAAAAGTAAAATTTTCCCAGTAGTTTTCACAAGCGCCGGGAAAAACAACATAAAAATTAAGGAAAAACTGGAATTTTTACGCAAAAAATCGATTTTGGTTTTTGGTGTAACTCTAAAAGAAATGAACGTATATACATGACATTTTCACTGGTTGTTTATATTTGCATTTTATATACACGATAACATTTTCAAAATATTTTGATTTATTTTGAACTGTTTAGGGACGTCTTCATTTTCCATTTTTTTTTAGTTTTTTTTCTAAAAATATCAATAAAATTTTATTTGTTGGTTGCGAAAGCTTGAAAATGTAATAGAAGGCTCCTAGTATATTGTTTCAAAGGCAGATGAAAAATATTAAAAATCCTTAGTCACAATTTTTTTTTATAAGCATTTAAAGTTCAAAAAATTTATCAAAATCTCAAAAATTATCAATCATTGTAATTAATAAATTATAAAATGTTCAGTTTTTATAGGTAAGGATTGCAAATTTAAAACAAAGGTTCTCATAAATAGTTCATACTGTAACCAAAAAATATATGAACACAGGGACATTTTCAGTTTCCAATTTTATTAATTTTTTTTTTTATGAATATCAATAAAAATTTATTTGTTGAGTAAAAATACTTGAAATTTTAATACAAGGCTCCTGCTATATTGTTTCAAATACAGATGAAAAATATTAAAAATCCTTAGTCACAGTTTTTTTTTATAAGCATTTAAAGTTCAAAAATTGACAAAATATGGAAAAATCACGAAAACTAGCAAATTATTTTGAGTTAAGAATTCGTAAAAATTTTCCTTTTTAAATCTAAGTTTTGAAAACCTAATACAAGATTACTCATAAGATTGTCTACCTTTAACAATAAAAAAATCTCTACCGGAAAGTCAAATTAAATTTTTATGAGCGTTTGAAATTCAAATTTTTACAACATTGGATATTCACTCGATTTCTCATGTAGCGACCACAATATATAGTTGGGGAATGGTGATGAAGCAGATGATAGACTACATGAGATTTGATCATGGAAAGGGATGAGGGTTGTTTAAACATCCGAAGTGTGTCGTTAAAATATAATAAAGACAATTGATTTGATAGTATAATTTTGTCAACTCAATAAATTATTCTGTATTAAATTGACAAAAAATGTTTGTAGTGGTGAGAGTGCCTACTTTAAAATGTATAGTAATATTTGTTTTAAAAAATAAAATAATATTATTAATTTGACAAATCAGTTGTTGTCACTACAAAATTGTCATTAATTATAAATAGTATGTTTTTGTTATATTGACAATTATTTTGTTGATTTGATAATTATTTTGTTATTAAAATTTTACAATATCAATGATTATTAATTTGACAAAAAAAATTTTTGGACCTATATCTACAATTTTATTGTCAAACACACATATAATTTTATCATCATGAACATGGTTTTTTATTCGGTGTATACAACATACAAATTTGAAAATATTTTGACTCTTTTTGAGCTATTTACGGACATTTACCACTTTCAATTTTTTTTAGTTTTTTTTTCTATAAATATCAATTAAGTTTTATCTGTTGGGCCAAAAAGTGTAAAAATTTAATACAAGGCTCCTGATATATTGTTACAATATCAGTTGAAAAATATTAAAAATACATAGCCACAGTTTTTTTTTATAAGCATTTAAAGATCGAATTTTGGCAAAATTTATCAAAATCTCGAAAATTATCAATCATTGTAATTAATAAATTATAAAATGTTCAATTTTTATAGCTAAGGATTGCAAATTTAAAACAAAGGTTCTCATAAATAATTCATACTATAACCAAAAAATCTAAAAAATATATGAACACAGTTATTTTTTACAGACATTTTAAATTCAAATTTGGACGAAATTACATATTAAAAAACCTAGACTATTTTAGTTATTTTGTTGTGATTGATAATATTATTCGTGGGTACTTAAAACTTCTAAAGTGTACTATTATATATCTATAATAGTATCACGGTTTTTGTTTATGTATAACGTGTTATAAGTACCTAATGGATATTGTGATATGATTAATTTTGAATTTATTGTAGGTACCTTTTATAGGTCAATTTTTTGTTTAATACCATAGATATGTATACTATAATATGTCTTATACCTTGACTGACATACCGTCTCCGCTCAGAATCGTTTTTCTTACACAATGATATTATATCGTTGAATTCAAATTTAATATCATCCATTATACAGTGACCCACTTGTAACCTACTATACAGCAGAGCGACACCCACTTGTCCACCTTTTTTTTAGATTCTGAGCGGAGCGATGAATGTATTGGTTTTACAATGATGTGTGTTTTTTTTTTATATTTTTATATTTTTATATTTTTATATTTTTATATTTTTTTTTGTGTCTGTCATCACGTTTTGGGACAGTAAAAGTGCTTCGATTTTCTTCAATAGTACCTTTTCTGATAGGAAAGTGAATCTAGTTGGTACTTTGGGGGGTCAAAAGTAAACATTTTCCAGTAGTTTTCACAAGCGCCGGGAAAAACAACATAAAAATTAAGGAAAAACGGGAATTTTTACGCAAAATCGATTTTCCAAAAAATCGAATTTGGTTTTTGGTGTAACTTTAAAACAAAT